ATAAATATATTCTCATTTTTGATTTTTCAGTGTATTATAATTTTTAAGTAATATTATGGTTGAGTAGTTTTAAAACTACATCTTCAAAATTCAATTTATCAGGAATTATCCAATCAATGTAGCTCAGATTTTGTAATTTGCTATGTAAAATTACATCATTTAATAAGAAAAAAAATTGCATACTTTACAATTCAAAACTTTTTCGTCTATTTAAGTAAAATAATAACTATTCACCAAAAGTTATTGAATACGTAAAATTATCTTTAGATAAACGAATGTTATAATTGTGTGTAATTTTTTTATTTATAAATCGCTTAAAAAGTTCCAGCCATATATGGCAAAATACGCACAAAAACGAAATTAGCATTAGGGGGTCCAGACTTTGGATCACTCTCCAGCCCAAACTATTTCGACAATATTTCCCAGATTGCGGTTACGCCCTATATTTTGGGGATCAAAAATCCGAATCCGTCGGGGGAAAAAGGCACCTATTCAGAGTTTTTGTAACTTAAAAAATCTTCTTCGCTTATTAATTATGTCATCCCCTCGAACCATTAAGATTGTTTTCTAGAACGTGAAGATCCGATAACTAGATAAAAAGTTTTTCAGGGTGGTACGCTTTTTATTTTGCGCGGTGTATATAGATTGTAACTCTTAACAAATCATGGCAAGTATGCCTATTTTACTCTTGTCGAATAGAAGTGTAATGATTTTACTTTAAAAGTTAGTTTTTGGTTCTTACAGTCCCTTTGCCAAATTATTATACGCATTATAAGTTAAAATCTTACTTATCAGTTGATACTCTACAGCTTTATTGCTTTTACGCAACTGATATCGGTTTGAATTTATTTACATACGTGTATCAATGGGTTAACATTGTAATGCAATACGTTAAAAATAAATACAAATAGGAAGTATATAAAAAATCTCCTGAATAAAAACCCATTACATGTATGTTTAAATATAAAAGTAGGGGAGAGTGGGGTCAATTGTAACATTTTTTACTTAACTATTTTTAACTAACAAAAAATCCAATATATTATTAGTATTAATTGACAGACGAGTAAAGTAGATACCTGATTTTAAATAAATACCTGATAAAATAAATACCTGATAAAATATACCTGATAAAATAATAAAATAAATACCTGATTTTAAATATTATTACCCCACTCTCCCCTATTGCATACAAACTCGTGCAAAACATGTCATTATTAAAAAACTGCAGTGCCCCTAATAATTTAGTCTAATTATTATAATATACTAATATAATATCTGACATAATAAATATTTTATATTTATATAATATACCGTCTAATGTATCCAATCGTCGAATTTATATTATTTATCGTCTAATTTCTCCAATTAATACACAAACATAAACAACTGCAAATCGTAAAAACTGCAAGCGTAAAAACATTAAAGCTGTAGAGTATCACCTTGAGTAATTAAGATTTTACATAGAATCTTATAATGCGTCTAATAATTTGGCAAAGGCACTGTATGTAAATTAATGACTACAAATGGAATATTGAAAAGAGATGAATACCTGTCTTTATGTTCTCCCAAAATATTCTTATATACTGATCCCTGTCAGATCTGTTTTGCTCGTGGTAGAAGCCGATGGCGTGCCCCAGTTCGTGAATAATTGTTCCTTCCCAACCGCAATGTTCTCCCAAAGAAACCGGTTGAGCTCCTCCTGTCTTCCCAACATGAGAGTAACACCTTCGCATCAATAGAAAAGAAAATTCGAATACACATTTTTAAAACAGAAACTGACTTCTATTTAGGGTAAGTTTCCCCCCGAATGACAGCAGTTTCAAATCTTCCCATAGGAAAGTCTACCATAGACACACATACACATGGTAATCTATGGTTACCACAGATTATATGACAAAATGCCATAGGCCTATGGTTACTATACAAACTTGTATGGCATTCATATTGTAAGACACAAGAAACACGGTCACAATAAAATACGTAAACAAATAATAAGTCAAAGTTAAATAAAAGAAATAGACAAAAAAAAAAAATTATATTTCAACTAATTCGATGTTTGATACTGCTCTGGTATTTAATTAACTTATCATTAATTAACATTCTAGTTTATGTAGAGAAAATTAACTCAACTTTAATACGCCATTTTGTAGATAAAGATTAGCTTGCTGACGTAATAAGTCACGTGTGTGAGTATGGAAGGTCTTCTTGAAGTGCGAATACCGAATTGTTCCACGGTATTATTCTTTTCGCCGGCAACATTTCATTACGAAAATGGAGCAAATTTTAAATTTCGCCTTCCTTTTGATTCAGCCTTCATTTACCTAAAATTTTTGATTTTAAACCAATATAAAGCATTAAACTCATGTAGGTTTGGATTGATAATTGTGTGATTTTTGTTTTTACAGGAATTAGTCGGAGGTAAAATTTTTTAACATTCCATCAAGTTGGTAATAAAATAATTGCGGTTTTTTAGAGTGAAATAAAACTCAATTTTTTTTTTCGATAAAAGAACTAAATATATTTGCGATCATCGCTATTATTGAAATTTTTACCATTTAAAACTTCTAAATAAATAATAATCCGATGGTGCAAGGTCAAGGCTATACGGAGGAATCGTGCACCACCAAAACAATGTGAAGCCTCGCGCTTCTTTAGCAACACGTACAATATTATTAGAACGTAGTTCAGAAATCATGTCGCATCCGCCATATAGCCTCGACTTTACAATAGAATTATCATTTATTTCGAAGTTGAAAAAATGTTTTAAATGGTAAAAATTCTAGTCATAACGATCGATGACCTTAGATCACACTTGATTGAGTTTTCTGCTGATATGGGCCAGGAGCTTTATTAGCCAGAAAATGGCAAAAGGTCATGGAACAAAATGGAAGATATTTGACTGATTAACATTCATTCGAGTAGAATTTTTTTTTATTTCGCACTGAAAAACCAAAACTACTTTCTTGCTTGCCCAATATTTTAATAGATTAAGACATTCTTACCCTTGTCCAGGGAATAGTCGAATATAATCTGCTTCCGTTGTTCTAGGAACAAATTTTATGCAGGTCATCTTATGATATTCATCGAAGCTTCTTTGAAGGATCCATTTAACTGTAGAGAAACGTAAAACCGGCTGATAAGTATACAAAACGTACGAAATCCGTATAAATAATAACTTTATTTATTTTTAAAAAAGAATGCATACACGCATTCATAAAGTTTTCACCAAACTAAACAAATAGTCTTCAAATATAAATACTATTCTGAATGACCGAAATCGGTGGTTGTTGACATCCAGCGGTGAATGTTGACAATCACATACTCACTTTGGTAAATGTCCAAAATATGTACTAGGTCTAGTTAAATGCCACTGCAAGATATACATTTGCCCGGTATGCCCTACATCAATGTTTTTTCAAAGTCAAGTAACACTGCCCAGTATGCATTTAACCGTTACTCCGAACACTGATGTTTTTTCTTATCTATCCTTAGCAGATATTAAAATATTGAATAAATATAATAATAACAACGAATAAATTAATATTGAATCGGCCGTAACAAATATTTCGAACATTCACCAAAGCGAACATGTGATTGTTGACATTCACCGGTGAAAGTCGCCATTCTCTTGATTTCGGTCATTCATGGTAACATAAACATTTTAAAACCTTAATTTACTACTAGCAGGGTAGGGGAGAGTGGGGTCAATTGTAACAGGGTACGATTGTAACAGAGCAAAAATTTCGAGTGTCGGGTTCTAGATTTGGTTCCTAGGTGGTGGACAAGGTGTATTTAACAAATCTACATGTACACCCCTGATGGCAACCATTTTTATGTACTTTTGAAAGAGTTGTATCACAAAAGATATTTTCACTCGAAGTAAGTACTTTTTTTGGTATTAGAATATTTTACTCGTCTGTCAATTAATACTGATATAATAATATATTCGATTTTTTGTTAGTTAAAAATAGTTAAGTAAAAAATGTTACAATTGACCCCACTCTCCCCTGCTATAAAAAATGTTATTTAATACATTCGTGAATATAGTTACAAAATCAAGTGATGTACCAAAACGTCAATAAGTTTGGTGAAGTATTACTTACATACGGTTTTATGTAAACCGGGATCCTCAACATATGGAACTATTCCTCCCGGCCATAGTTGCCTTTTGTCGACGACTGCGTTTCGATCCTAAAATTTAGATTTTTTTTTTTTTTTTACAAAAGAAAATTAAAAATAAGAAACTGAAACTATCACAATTTGAGCTCCTTAATTTTGTAACGATGAAAAGTACTTTTAGTTTGTTTGGCACAGTAATAAATATTTTTAAAATGTACTTCTTACTTTGTTATTTTACTGCTTATTAATTGTTAAAATTTCAATTATATACTATTAATCAGGACTATTAAACTTCGAAATTAATGCGGGCAGCTTTTACAGCAATAAAATCCCTATCTGATGGGTTAATTATGCTACTTATGTTCATCGTACCATTACAAAATCTAAAAAGAAAGTTTAAAAGTTAAGTCCGAAGTTGGTATATTGTTGACAAGGTAAGAATTCTTACACTTTAACATTTAAGTGCTTTATTAAAAAAAATAGTGCGTGGAGTCCTTCCGAGCGGAAGAAGTTAAACTTCACAAC